GAGGAGGTGGGGAAGGAAGACCAGAAATCTACATGCTTGCTCTCTGGGGAGCAGTTTAAATACCCTGTGGGAGTGGTCTTGAACATCACTGAATGAGGGGCCACCATTTGGCGGGCTTTCTTGGGGGTGGAATCTGGACTGAGGCAACTCCCACAGGAGGAGCTTGTGATGGGACTTTCTACCCAAACTTTCTAGAAGTTTTGGATATATGGATGCCAGGGTCTGAGGTGAAGCCTTAATCCAAACATTCCATACTCTTTGGGCATATGTATGTCAGCAGCTGGGGTGACACTTTCAACCAAACATCCCATACTCTGTGGGTATAGAGGTACCAGTTCAATTCTGGCTACTTCCTACAGGTATAGAAGGAGCAGTGGGCTGCATTCCACCATCTGGCGAGCTTTGCCTGAAATAATTACTTGGAAACTATATTCATTTAAACACTGTCTGGCCCATTAGATCTAACCTCTTATTGGCTAGGTCTTACGTATTGATTCAACCCATTTCTTATAATCTGTATGTCACCACGGGGTCATATCTTACCAGAAAGATTCTAACCTACGTCCATGTCGGGCTGGAGCTTCAATGGCATCTGCCTGACTCTGCTTTCTTTCTTCCAGCATTCAGTTCTGTCTATCCCACCTACCTATGTTCTGACCTATCAGATCAAGCAGTTTCTTTTTTAATTGACCAATGAAAGCAACACATAGAAAAAAGACCTTCCTACATCATTTCCACTTTTTTCTGTGTTTTAAAAAAGGAAGGCTTTAACTTTAACATAGTAAAATTACATATAACAAAACAGTTATCAAGCAAGAATTACAGTTACAATATTTATATCTATTTTATCTTTTACCATAACAAAGGAAAACTATAACTAACCATTTTCAACTCCATCAAAGACTCCAGAAGGATATAATATTACCTAAGTAAACAAGAAGTAAGCAACTTCCAAAACTGTAGTAATGACAGAGACATTTCATTGCCTGGACAGTCACCCAAAGTTCCTCTGTACCGTAGGGGCATCCATCTTCAGCCTACAGGCCCATAGTATCCAGCAGACATTTCCATGAAGCAGGAAATTTTAAAGACAGTTCAATCACTTTCTTTTGTGTCCTGCAGAATGTCTCACAGACAGACTCCTTCATGAAGCAGGAACCCTGAAAAACCATCTCACCTTTAGGCAAGTTCAGCAGTCCTCTCTCTGCAGGTTCTTTGTGCAACAGTTTATGCAACAGTTCAGGCAAGAGCAGTTTCTTGCCCTAATGGCTATCAAACTCCATAAGGAGCCTCTTCGATGCCCATCTTCCTCTTGAAGTAGATTGGTATTGCCAGGAGCAGACATGTCTCACTGTCATGAAAAGCCCTAAGTTATTAAAACATTAAATGCCATATACTGTAGTCTTTGAAAGATATGAAGAATGCCTATCTAACTGAAATATATCTCTATATCTAGAAAATCTAACTAACATGACTACAAGCTTGGTTATTATTGATGATTATTCATTAACAACCCATATTTCCTAACTATACATTACATTTTTAAATGAACTACATAATCACAATACCTTAATCAAGATCAGAAATACATATACATATAATAAAATTGACCTTAAATTTCTATCAATAAGGCAAAATTTATACCAATGTAAATTATTCATATTTATATCATATCCCCCTTTAAATGTAAAAGAACATTTATAAACAATATCTAGGAATATGGACTTAGTTATTTCTCTCCAAACTTCTTCCTGCTGTATAGGGCCACTGTTAATCATGTCTTTAATGGTGTATCTTGTGTGTCAGGTTCTTTTCAGTCGGCAACTGAGTGAAGTAATTTTTTCAGGGTGTTCACAGCAATCTTTCAGGAGGGCATGGTCTATCATACCATATTGGTATAGAAGCAATCCACAGGGTCTCATCCTCTGTGAAAACAAAAGAAGACCCTCTTTTCCAAAGCATCATATTCTTAGATCCAAATTCTGAAGTCAAGATAGCTTTATAATACACATGTTGGATTAACTTAGCAAACCACACAATGAAATGTCTCTCTGTATTTAGTTCCTTCACAGTCAAAAAATTGAAAGAATATACAATATACAGAAGCCAAACTCTCTGTGAATTTTCAATTTTTACATGGCTTGTTTTTCTTTATTTCTTTTAATCTATAACTATTTGTACTCTGTCTCTTTAAAGACTTTACCCATTTTTTAAAGCATTAACTTTATTCTCTATATTCTTTCTCTTCTCTCCCAAGTCTACGTATGTCTATTTAACATTATGACCCATTTAGAGGTCTTTTATGTCTGAATCTGTCCTACTGTGAATCTGTAATTCTTTACTGTTTAGGTGTACTTCTTAAAATGCTAAGTGCTTCTTAAAAACTTTAGCTTGCGCCACATGGGGTAATACGGTACCACCTGTTTCCTGCCCAGTCTAAGGCTTAACTGCACTGTTATTATGGTAATTAGGATAGATCATGCCTGAGATCAACACCGTTTAGCATGGTAGAGTGAAGCGGGAGCTGCTCCTGCCTCAGCCATTTGGTGCCCATGAGCTGAGCACAATTCCAGGCACACATCAGTCCACATTGCCATCAAGCAAGCCTTAGCACTTTACTCACAAAACCCCATCCAAATTCAATGTCTACTACAAGAGACAGAGGTCACGCTAGGAGCATAGCCCGGAAAGCTGGCATTTTAAAACTGTGTGGCTTTTTTCAGATAAAACGAGATTTTTATCTGAGTTACAGAAAAATCTGTAGATGACTGCACAGCCTGGAAATATCTCTGTGTATGGTGGCGGGAATCGGCCATGCTCTCCCACTTGTGCATGCCTAGTAAACCTCATCCTGCCGCCTGAAGGTGCAGGTGGGAAGTGGTGAGCCATTGGCATTGTCTCAACTACTTTATTCCTGACCCTGAGTGGGCACACAAATGTCCAGGCCCAGAAATGCACCATAACCAGAGTTTGCATGAGTGTCAGGGCCTAGGAAGCCATGTTTTAAAATGGCACAGCTTTTTTCCTGCCGAGGCTGCTGAGTCAGGAAAATTTCTCTGCGGCATTCCGCCAACAAAAAGCTGTGTTAAACTCTCTCTCCTTTTTAAGTCCTCTCAGGTTTTACGTGGAGTTATCAGATCACATTGGGCAAAGGACTCTACAATGACCTGTAGGAGTACACAGAGAGTGATGTTGGTGCAGTTCCATGGTGGAGAGTTTATACAGAATGCACAAGGCCTGTGACTGAACCTCTAACAAAGAAATAAAATCAATATACTGGAATAGGGATCCAGCAGTTAAAAGTACTTGCTACCCTTGCAGAGGACCCAGGTTCAATTCCCAGTTCTACATCGTGGGGGCATAACCACTGTAACTGCAATTCCAGACCATCCATTGACAGCTTTCAACTGCTTTAGGCATGCATGTGGTATACATACAAACATTCAGGCAAAACATTTATACCTATAAATTAAAATAAGTAAATCTAAATTTTAAATACATGACACTATGCATGTATAAACCAATTTTATAGAATCTTTTAAGTTATTTTCATTTATTTATTTAAAACCTTTTTATTTTTTGAAAGTGTCATACATTTATACTCTGCATACCAATCATATTAGTCCATATGATTTCCTTACAAATTTCATATTCTACTTATATAATTTTGCTATTAATAATTCCCAATACGCAATTAGAGGTATCCATATCCAAATAAATAGATTGTAGTCTGATAAGGCATGGATAATCTTCTAAATCCCACATCTCCAAAGGAAACTGACTCTGCCTACTGGGATGGACATCAACTTTCAAAACTCTTTCAGTATAGATGGGACTTCAGGTTGCTCTCCCTCCTCTGCTGAAATTTTGACAGGCCTGTTCGTGTACAGATCGTGTACAGGCCACTACAGCTACTGTGAGTTGATGAATACAACATCCGTATCATGTCCAGATATTGCCATCTCACAGTTTTCTCCTCATCCATCCCTCTTTAGTGAAGTTTCCTGAGCTTTGATATTCATGATCCATTTAGAGATGTATGTTCATTCTACCCTGCTACTCAGAATATCTTTTCTATCTCCCCAACTCCAAATAACTAGCTCTTCTGTGCCTGGATTTTAAATTCCTTGATGTATATGAATAGGACCATGGAAAAGAGATAGCAAAGATGATGTTATTTTAGAAGTGGTAAATATCTTCATGCTCTGAAAATCACCTGATCAACTGTATATGACTAATAAAATACAGACCTTTTAAAATCACAAATCATGTATTTATGAGATAAAATATTTTCTCATAAAACAGTAAAGGTATACTTACTTGTAGTCAAAAGAAAGTAGTATTACAAGTATTTTATTGACACAAATATCAAATTAGTCATTTTCCTAAGTCTGTACATTTTCTGCATTTTGCTGATTCTCCAGAGAGAGAGAGAGAGAGAGAGAGAGAGAGAGAGAGAACAGAGTGGTAATGATTTTTCACATGAATCATTCTTTCTTTTTTGGTTTCCATCGTCTACTCTCAGTGTTAGAAGGATGAAACCTGAACTCTGGGGAAAACTGAATTCTTATGAAACAATGCAAACTCATCTCTGAGTTTCCCCTAAGTCTTCAGTGGCAATATAACCAATCACCCTAGATCTCAAGGAGCCCAACCAAATTCCCTTAATCTGAAACATGATGAAAATGCAAAACAGAATATATCTTGATTTGCATATCAGCAAATTTGAATTTGTTTTCTTTTCTAAATCATCTGCTGAACATTTCAGCCCATGTGTGGACAAACATATTTAGCAAGGACTCTAGCAAGAATTGCTGAAGAAAATTAACAAGAAAATGTGCAGATTAAATGTCAATCAGGAAATGTTCAGCTTGTTGTATGGTCAGAAAATACAGAAGGATCTGGAACAAAGGGAAGAAAGAATTTAATAACACATTTGGACCATCCATGGGGCACTTGGACAGCACATGATAGTGTTATTAGACACAAATCCTTCTCTGAGCATGGAACCTGTTCTGCATATCTTTGCCACTATAATAATAGTTGCGGAGTTCATTTTTGGGAATCTGAGCAATGGGTTCATAGTGCTGTCAAACTTCTTGGACTGCATCACTAAACAAAAGCTTTCCTTAATGGATAAAATCCTTCTTACATTGGCGATTTCAAGAATTACTCTAATCTGGGAAATATATATTTGGTTCAACACTATATGTGATCCAGCATTATTTGTGATTGGAACAGAATTAAAAATTCTTCATTTTAGCTGGATACTTTCTAGTCACTTCAGTCTCTGGCTTGCCACAGCCCTTAGCATCTTTTATTTTCTCAGAGTAGCTAATTTCTCCTGGAAGATAATTCACTACTTGAAATGGAGACTTAAACAACTGATTGTGGGGGTACTGCTGGGAAGCTTGGCCTTCTTGCTTGCAAATCTGATAAAAATGAGCATCACTCTTGAAGAGAAGATCCATCAATATGGAAGAAATAGTACTGTGAATTCCATGGATATGGGAATTTCCTTGTTTTCAGAGCTGATGTTATTCAACATGACTCTGTTCGCTGTAACACCATTCTCACTGGCTTTGATTTCTTTTCTCCTGTTAATCTTCTCTTTGTGGAAACATCGACAGAATATGCAGCTCAATGCCAGAGGAAACAAAGATCCCAACACCAAGGCACACACAAATGCCATGAAAATTATAGTCTCCTTCCTTCTGCTCTATGCTACTTACATTCTGTCCCTTCTGACAGCATGGATTGCTGAGAAACATCACAGTGAACTAGTTCACATTATTTGTATGATAACTGGACTCATGTATCCTTCAACCCACTCATTAATCCTGGTTCTAGGAAACTCTAAGTTAAAGCAAAATTCTCTTTTGATACTGAGGCACCTTCGATGTAGGCTGAAAGAAAAGAATATACCAACTGCCTAAGGCATCCAGACAACATACAGTCATGTGTTCTAGACAACAAAGAAATCTATGAGGAGGTAGTTTGAGGACATTTTATTCCTCTCTTTGGCTTCTTGCATTATGTTATAAATTTTCAAAAATGTATATCATTTTCTTTTACCTAAAAACATTAAGTATACATGGTTAATGTTATTTCTATGTACAATATGTATTATTGGTGTTTTGAAATTCTTTGAAGAAATTATTAATAGTTGTAATCTTCATTTAATACTATTAAGAACTAATTTTTAAAAATGTAAATACACAATTACTTACTTATATTCTAACTACAAAACTCTAATATAGGCTCTTAGTGACCAATTTTAAACTCTTCATTATGTTGGGCATTTGATGGGATCACTTGATTATACCATGAACCCATTCTTACTTGGTGAATGAAGTATATCTATAGCACTTATTTAGTACTGAAATAGGAAACTTTATTTTTTAAAATTTTACTGATAATGACAGTTTATGAGCAGTAACTAAAAGGCTAATATAGTTAAATACCATATAAAATTATAACTTTTCTTTTTAATTACACTATATGTGTATATAAATGTTTATTTTACTACATGGGGTTTTAAGTAAAGAGTAAGTCATAATATGTAGCAAAATATAATATATATATATATATATATATATATATATATATAATTTAGAATTTTGATTATTAATACACTCTCAATTTATGATTGCCATACAGAAAATAAGAACACATGATGCCTGATCCAGCTTTTCCAGAGATTATTGGGAGCTGAACTCAGGTCCTCATAGTTGAATGTTAAATACATTATCAGTTGGGCCATTTCTGAGGCCCATTTCTTAAAACTCCATTCATTAATCCATTTTAGTCAAGTTCTTTTCTAAGTTTTATAAACTTATGGTTTGTAGAAAATATTAGAAAAACACCTATTTAATTTCTTCATTTACACAGTTTTATACAAACTCTCTTGTTGACATGCTAGAGTATAGTAAAAAAGAAATTAGAAGATATTTAAAGACTTGTTCAGTGTCCTGTGGTTAGAAAATAAAAATAATTGAATTGTTAGCATAGCCAATCAAATTCCCAATCTTGTGTTTATATTTTATAAATGCATATGAACTTGGATACTTTTACCTGATCATCCTGTATGCACATCCTCTCCTATATTTCAAATCATTACCTACATGTGATAGAAAATACAGTCGCATATCATGTCAATATTAATAGTTATCATACTGCAGTGTTATTCATGGGAACATTATTATATACTGTTCAATATATATATATATATATATATACATTATTATATACCCACTGATAATGAAATTATTTTCTCTGTTACTTTTTATTTGCAGCTGTTTCAATTTGCAGATAAACATCCTACTGATAGAGATGGCCCAAACATAGTAATTAAGGAAGAATCAATTGACATAGAAAACTAAGAAGGAAAACTGTGAGAGTAAAACCAAAACATTCTACTTAAAATTTAACACACACACACATACACACACACAGACACACACATACAAAAGACTACAGATAATATTTGAATTATCATACTAGCACATAGCAAAAAAAATAGAAATATATAAGAACAGGCTTTTAAAAATGAAACAAGAAATACCAGGTAGACTGTGCTTGCCAGGCAGTATGGGCAGCTTTTTTACTCAACACTTCCTGGGATGTGTTGGACGTGGCACTCAAATGTCAGTTGCTTTTGCAAGCAATTCCTCAAGTAGCTTGATATGTTATTCACCCCTGTCAAGAAGTCAGTGTGTGAGCAGCTGACTCTATATGTAGTGGGGAATCAACCAGTGGATCAATACCGTGGATTTCCAGCAGTTTGTGGTGTGTAGGTTGGGTAGGCCCTGGTATGTGGTCTTCACAAGAGTCTTGTCATTAAATTGGAATTTGTGTGTGTGTGTGTGTGTGTGTGTGTGTGTTTGTGTGTGGCACATGTATATGTGTAGGTTACCCTTTCTTAAACTCACTAAAGTTTGCTTATTTGTTTATTTATTTATTTATTTATTTTGGTTTTTCGAGACAGAGTTTCTCTGTAGATTTACAGCCTGTCCTGGAACTAGCTCTTGTAGACCAGGCTAGCCTTGAACTCACAGAGATCTGCCTGCCTCTGCCTCCCGAGTGCTGGGATTATAGGTGTGTCCCACCACCACCCAGCTGCTTGTTTATTTTTTTATGTATACTATATCTTCATACTGTAGTCAATGTATGGGTGACATGCTTGATAAATCTCACAGAATGAGAGCTCTCACTGGGATGAAGAAGTAAGTACCATCTGGTTTTGATGGAAAATTACAGGGTATGATACTTCATGCCTTATTTTATTATTTATTACATTCACTATGAAGCCTCATCTTCCCGGGATATATACTTTGCAAAACAAAATTATGCCATGGATCTCATATGCTTTATGAAGATAATTCCATAGAGTGTAGTCATCTTTGAAAAGAGTACAATGTTCTACATCCTGGTTCTTGTTAGTACATTTGCTAATGTTCTTACATCTCTATTTTCTTAGTTGTGCTTGTCACTGCTTCATGATAAAAGCAACAATGAAAAATGTTCACAACAATATTACACACTGATCTATTTTAGTTTAGTAGAAGTATGGCTGAAGATATTAACTTCTTTGTTCAAAAAGTAAAGAAAGAAAAGGAAAAAGTAAAATGTCATAGCAAGCTAGAAAGACGGCAAACAGCTTAAACATTGCCAGTAATTTTGATTAATTGTTCTCACTTGTCCATTATGTGTCTCATTTTTAACTGCAGTTGAATACCAGTATACTTACTTTCCCAAATTTAACCAACTGGTACAATGGTCACAGCCAAGTGAATTCATCCCACCAAGATCTTTGGTGTTCTGACCAAGCTATATACCCCATGACTGCTTCAGAGACATGGAGAAGATTTCTGAGGAAACCTCTTGACACTGAAGGGCTCTAGAGGATGCTTAGCATGTCACCAGCAAAAATGGGAAGCAAAATATTTTTAGTTGTAAGCCCTTACTTCCCTTACCTAATCTTTTACCAACATCTTTTTCTTTCCTTTGTAACCATTTAAGCCCTTTTTCTTTTTAATTCTGTGGCTAATGTCAAGAAAAAGAGCCCTATAATAAGGTAACAAATGAATTTAAATATATTCTTCTATTTCATCATCTGGCCATAGACTGAAAACTTTGCTTGCAGATGTTGGAGTAGAACCTCAACTCTCATTTGCTAGCATGAAAATGAAGGCATATTCTCTTTCAAGGTTTTATGAATATTTATCTTCTCCCATGCCACATAATTTGGATATCCAAATAGAGATATCAGTTAGTAATTTTAATTCCTAGTAATTGAGCCATGTAGGAAACTGAATAATGGAAATTAATAATTTTGTGATGATATACTTGAAAGTAACAATCCTGAAGTAACCTGGGACTATGATCAAAGAATATAAGTCAACAAAAATTAACTTACACAGTGAATAAAAGAAGAGATATCACAGAATATAAAACCCTAGAGGTCCTGAAATGAGAGCCAATGTCCAGGATCAACCTCATGACATTTCTTTGTAAAAGCAAAGCTAATAGAGATAATGAGAGGACAGATAGACATAAAGATAGAGGAAGATGTGAAAGATGAAATAGTGCGATGTGATGAGGGTCCTTTTGGTGACCCTCTTCAGAGTGATCTGAAAGGAAGTCTGCTCGTGTGTCCATTACTCCTCAGATCTTTTCTAGGAGTTTTCAATTGGACTCTTGGGAAAATAGAAAAAGCCACCAACTGTTCTTGAAAGCCCTCTCTGTCTTGTATTTCTTTTTGATCGTGATTTGTTCAAAGTAGAAGACACATTTCTGTCTTTCTACCTTAAACCACTCAAATTACAAGTGGCCAATGAAGAAAATGATGCATGAGGCTCATGATGTGGATCCCTTATGCCATACTTGAGGAATAATCTTGGTCACACAAAGCAGTGAATAAAAGAAGAGACAGTGAATGAATCAGAAGAAGAATATAAATTGATTCCTGTGTCAGTCATATATACTTCTGCCTTCCTATACTGGCTGACTTCATGAGCTATTACTTATTCATCTTGTGACTACAAAGATTTTAAGTCTGGTGTAATGATTTGTCCTTGTTTTTTTTTTAATATTTATTTATTATGTATACAATATTCTGTCTATGTGTATGCCTGCAGGCCAGAAGAGGGCACCAGACCCCATTACAGATGGTTGTGAGCCACCATGTGGTTGCTGGGAATTGAACTCAGCTTTGGAAGAGCAGGCAATGCTTTTAACCTCTGAGCCATCTCTCCAGCCCCTTTGTCTTTGTTTTATTTATTAGACATACTATACTCCACCATTTTAAAGGCTTGAAGTAATTCAGTAGTTTCTCTCTTTCTCTGTATTCTTCTAGAGGCAGGCACAGTATATCCAACCAAACTGGTCTCACTTTGTCCACTGTAAAGTAAGATGCTCACTGAAACATTGAATTTGCAAAAAAAAAAGAAAAGAAAAGAAAAGAAAAAAGAAAGAATTAACTCAAACGACTTCTGTTATAGTTTGGATATAAGGTGGATTCCATGTGCACATGTGTTTGAACACTTGGTCTCCAGTTGATGAAAGTGGGTGGGCAGGTTGTGGAACCTTCTGGATGTAAAAACATAGCTATCATGCATTGGGTCATATGGTAGTGTAAAGTTTGATCAGCCAGCTCTACTATGGTACCAACATTTTCCAAAGCTTTTCCTTAAGTCATTTTGTTGATAAAATTGACAAAATAGCTAACAGAGAAAATGACACTACAAAGAAACTGACAACATTGTATTTGGGCAATAAGAAAGGTATCTTGATGACAAGATTTCACTCACTGAAGACAATGGGGTAAAACACTGAAAACCCTTTTGAAAATATTCCCTTTACAGGAATGGACCTGAGTAAAAAGGCCCTGCAATCACTCAGGTAATTTCATGCTGCAGAGTCCCTAGGTCCCAGA